TATTCTTTTTAAAAGCTTTTGGAATAAAACGCTTCTGAAGAAAGTGGTTCTTATAAAAGGTAACAAACAGAATAACTATAACAAAGTAAAATAAATCTTTGGTATAAACATTGGATTAAAATAAGTAACTGATTCAGATGTGTTTCTTTATTGGAGAAATTTTAAGCAAATATAATTTTCTTTTTTTATAACTTCTTCCTCAGTATGCAATTTCTTTGGAGCATTTTTTCTCATAATGCATTTTAAAAGTTGATTCACTTCCCTCAATCTTGATACGAGTTGGAATGAACATGATTAAAAATGAAATTTATTAAACTACTGTTTGCTGTTTTAGTTCATTTAATATTTATAAATTTGTTTAAGTTACTTCATTGTTTATCATGTATACTAGCGCATCTGCTGAAAATTTAATTATTTTCTTAATAACTATTCAAAAATAAACAATGAAAGCATATTGTTTTAAAATATTTTCGTGAAAACTGTTTATAGGAGAACAAAAAATACATTGAAAATAAGATTAATGCTTCATTTTAGATCACAAGGGCTATATCCATTAATAATGTTTCTTATTATAATAAGGATATTATTTTAAAGGATATTTAGTATATTATTTACTATTAAGCATTTTATTCCATTAAAAAAATTCAACAGTTTGCCATTAATTTATAAGTAACTATAATTAAAATTTTTTGGGGGCAACAACAATGGATGTGGACTCTCCTATTGCAATTTTTAACCAAGAGAAAATGTTTGTAATATTAATTCTTCACTACACCACGCTGTCTACACAAATCGTAGATTTTGTTTCATGTCTGAAACGGCCGTGGATTATTAGATCGGAATACAAATCACTGAAGCCAATGGCGCATGAAAATGTGTATGGCACGATCGTAATAATATTATTTCAAATTTAAAAAAACAGCAAATAGAAAGATAGGACTTCATACTAACTTTCAATTAATCAACTAATATTTATAAAATTGTCCATTCAACTTCCCGCATCAACTTGTGTGCACAATTCTTAAATTAGTGGCTAGTAGTTCCCCACATAACCGATTTGTTTTAACAAACCATACAATGGTATCTAATTGTACTGACAAACTATGCTTCGGTGTCGAATTGTACTGACAAACTATGCTTCGGTGTCGAATCGTACTGACAAACTATGCAAGGGTATGTAATACGGATACGTGGACGTTTTAAATACACGCGTGTGAACAAAGCTAGTAGAAAAGAGACTTCATTAGCGCTCATGGCAAAATCTGCAACTTGTTCACTCTCGCATCTTGCCTAATTTATTGGGGTTTTTTTTTTGCAGCAATCTTAACCGATTCTCTTAATTTAATATAATCTTAATCAATAAAAATGAGTAATCACGAACGCTTAAATGATGGAATGCAGTGACAAACTGTGGGGTGACTTCGAGCAGGTCAGTCTCAAATCCAGATTTGTAGAGAATTTAATTTAATGCACAGAATTACGCGAAATTTATGCTGCCGAATGAAACCCTGAGCTAGATTGGCCAAGACCCACGACAGCCAATGGTGATCGGTATTTCTCGATTGCAGCAAGTCGTAACAGGAATGCTTGAGCTTTTCAGGTATCTCGTGACCTCAATGCGGACACAGGAAGCTCAATTTCAAAGGTTACTGTTTTTAGAAGACTTCATGAGGGAGGGCTGTTTGTAAGAAGACCTGTTGTTTGCATCCTGCTGCTTTCTGCCGACAGAAGAGTCTATTTATGATGGTGCGAGACTATAATTTTTGGAACAAGAATCAATGGTCGAATGTTATCGTTGCTGATGAGCACCATTTCAGCATGAGCATTGACTCTCGACATTCTTTCATATAATTTTATTTTATATCCGTCGGTGAACAGTCGAAAAAATTTTTGGGTTTACGACTACTAATGCTCAACTCCATAGCCTTGTCATTTTGAACCAATCTTGAAGACGAGGAAACTCCTGGATCAGTACCACCAGAGATATTGATTTGTAATGGGAACATGGGGGACTTTACGACACGACAGATTTAACGTGCATCAGTCACCATTTACTACACGGGGAGTCTTCTGCCGGTGGGGATTGAACCCACGAACTCTTGGACATGGGCCCAGTGCCCTACCAACCAGGCTATATCGACTCTGAGATTCTTTCTTTGAGAGAGAACCAGAGACCCGCTACATGCCCTCTTATGTACGTGAAATATACCATTATGGCAATCTAGGTTTTCAAGTCTGAGCCAGGCATAATGCTAGATTACCGAACACCTCTATATTTTTTTGAAATAGGTATTGTGATCGGTGTGAGGATTAGGGATGAGGTCCATGAGTTCTATGTTCCATTTCTCAAGGGTGTAATGGGTCCAGATTTCATTTTAATAAATGTCAAGGCGACTCCACCGAGAATGCTTTTCGCTCGATAATTTTCTGAAAAACGAAGATAATCGCTGGAGAGATTGGCCAGTCAGATCTCCAGACTTCAAACCTATAGAGCATATCTGGAACGCTTTGGGTAGGATAATTGCGTAACCTCTTCCAAGAACCATCCAGTGAGTCAAAACAGCGTTACTGGGTAAGTGGAATAAACTGCCCTAGTAACTCATAAACTGCCTTATTTCAAATATGAAATCACGGTGTGAGGAGACCTGTGCAAGAGTGCTATACCTCCTATGGAACCATTTTTTTCAACACTGAAACCACTTTTTGATACCATTCAACACTGATGAGTGATACACACTATCATGCATGGATATTATAACTGTTGAATAGTTATTTTTGTATTAAATTAATTTATATTCAAGAAAGTTTTTATTAAAGACAGTCCAGTAGTCCTGGAGGTAATAGACTAAAGATAAAAATTCTCAAATTTTGCACACCAGTGTAATACAGTCTGGTCAAAAACCCAGCAGAGGACCGGATTCAGGAAAATCGGTGGATGCCGATTGCATAATAAGAAGCTTTAAACAATCATAGATAAAGTTGAGAAAAAAAAAGAATTTAATCAAACAAGTATGGAATGATTGCTGCAACAATTAGATTTAACCGTTTCGGTTCTATTCGACTGAACATGCATCAATTGAGAAAGAATTTTATGGGCTGAACAGCTATTGCAAAGGGTCTGAAAATTACATGCGATTTACGTGCTTTACATTATATGTTTTTAACCGGTATAACTGTTTTTCGAAGCAACAAGACGGTTCGTGTTCATTATGTCAATATTTTTCGAGAAAAACAATTCTTATGCATACACAATCAACTCTTATCTGAAATAAAAACTGCATAGTGATCCCTATTATTTTATTTTATGTATAATTAAATTTTTCGTCATATATGTGGAAATGCGGAGTTGCCCTAGTATTAAAGCGAGATAAACACAAGCTTACAAAAGAATAAAAAACAAAGGCGGAATTAAAAATATTAAAACCAATTTAATAGCTAGGAGGGTTTCAAAGATGCTTCGAATTATCCCCTCTCAACATCCTCAAGCTATCAAATAGGTTTTGATATTTTTATTTCATTTTCTTTACAGATTCGCCATGCTTCGGTTATATATATTTTTTTTTGCTTAAATATACATTTAAGCGACTAATACGTAAGCATTTTTACTTATGACAAGAATTTTAAAAACATTCATAAAAGCCAGTAATTTCAGGTATGTTTGTTGTAAGAATGGTTTTAACAATTACATAAAAGAAAGTTTTTATGGTTGGGTGCACAAATTTATATTAACACTATAAATCACGAGTGGAATATTTTCTATAATTTCACACTTTTATTCATTTGTGACGTGTGCCTTCTGTGCTTATGCATCGAAGCAAAAAACTCCTAAGTTTGGTTTCTTATAGGTTTCTCATTGGTACTCTAAGGATAACATGCATATTTCAGGATTATATCTATCTTACTTGATAATATGCCTAATTTGCAAAAATTATGTCAAAATATTGAAACAATCATATTTTTTGAGAAACTCTTTAAGAATCCCATACAAGAGGGAAAATGCGTTTCGAGGAAATATTTTGGAACATGCGCCATACCTGAAGCATATAAATATACTATTTACTTATATATATAT